GGCAACGGGCTGCCTCCGCCCAGGCGCAGGCTCGATTCGTTCCCGCAGAACGCCAACAGCCAGCCGGCCTGGGGCCACGCGCTCGAGAGCGGGACCTACGCCGGCTTCAAGCCCAACCGCGAGGCGGCCAACAGCGGTGGGCTGCGGCTCGTGCCGCCGAGCAAGCAGGCCAAGATGCAGAGCAGCGCCGCGGAGCTGGCCCAGGAGGGCATCCGGCCCGCCGAGGACCTGCGCTCGCACTACGGACACGCGAGGGGACTGTCCGCCGGCGGTGGCGGCGAGCGCGACCACGGCGACCACCAGCAGTATCCGCATCGATCCGCCAGCCCGAGCGGCCATTCGAGCAGCGGCGGCGGCGTCGGCGGTGCCGGCAACGATGTGCTGTCGCCCGCGACGCCTACGACGGCTGGCGGGCCGCGCGACCTCTATATGCGGCGGCAGGGGTCGTCGCACACGGCCAACTCGATTGGCAGCGGGCTGCGGGATCGCGTGTCGGAGATGCTGCGGCTCAACGATGGCCCGGCCAAGGGTCAGCGGCCGGTCGACCTGCTGAGCCAGGACATCCAGGCGCTGGTGCAGAAGCACGACTGGCTGGCGCGGGCTGCGGCGGGTGCGACGGGCAAGCCGCTGCGCGAGGACCGCACGCGGCTGATGCAAGACTACCGCGGCCACGACGGCGACGAGGATGAGGGCGGTCGCCGCAACGGCTACGACGGCATCGACGACGACGACGAGGGCGACAACGACGCGCCGACCAACGACCGCCCGGACGGCGCGTGGCCGACGACGCTGCGCCGGGCGGGCTCGCTCAACCCGCGGCGGTCGGCATCGTACTCGGCGTCGGCGTCGGCGGGGACCGCGCCGTTCCTCTCGCGTCGGTCGGCCGAGACGTCGCGCGCCGTGCCGCCCAACCTGCCGCCCGCCGGGCTGGAAGGGTCGCGGAGGTGGAGCAGCTACGTCGCTGGCAGCCCCAAGGCGTCTTCGCAGCTGCAGCAGCATTCCGCCGCGGCCAAGGGCGCGTTTGGAGGCGTGCCCGAGTCGGCGCTCGACGATGCCGACGAGGAAGGCCAGGGCGATGACGACGAGGACGAAGATGGGCAGGAGGGCGGACGCAAGTTTGCCGGCAGCGGCGACTCTGGGTGGAAGAGCAGCACCAGCGTCGCCGAGATCAAGGCCGAGCACGAGCGGCAGAGGCAGCGGCAGCGCGAGGGCTGGGAGCCGCTCTAGTGAGGGAGCGAGGGATCGTCGTCGTCGAGAGGCGGAGAGACAGAGAAAAGAAGAACGAGAGATGAGCAGGTGGCTTGCCGATTCGCTTCGATTCCCGACCCGCCGCTCGCTGTATACCAACCACGCCGGGCCAGCCAACGACGGCGAGCCCGCGGGGTGCCCCTCCTGGATGCCTCGCCGGCTCGCCCGCCCCTTGTATTCTATCGTTTGCATGGAGACCACCTTCCACTCCGGGTCGCAGCCTATCGCTCGCCGTCGTCCGCATCAGCCACCGTCATTATTGCAAAGCAAAGTCCTGCACGCCTCTGAGCCAACATTTTGCCCCCCGCCGCACTCGCACGAGGATCGCGAAGAGCGGCCTGCAATGCCCCTCGACCACCACAACTGAGCGGCCGCGACGAGGGTGGGTCATCGGTGCCTCGGAAGTCGGGCGCCATGGACGCCGAATTTTTTTTCCCGCGGGCGCCGTACCAAAGTGGAGTCTGGACTGCTGGCTCCTTGGCCTTCTTGCCCAGCCACTCCCGCCACCAGCGACTCTCCCTGCCTCCTCTTTGCCGTCGACCCTCATCTGCTCGCCGTAACACCATCGCAATCTCTGTGGATCCATCAGCATTGCAAGGCGACAGAGATGGCGCAACAGCTCGCACACGCCCCGTCCTACGCGGGCAAGTGGAGCCGCCTGAAGCCGTCCCTGACACCATGGGTGTGAGTTGCCCGCTCGTTGTCGGCATCGTCGGCGTCGTTGTCGTCGGCGTCGTCGTCGTCGGCGTCGTCGTCGTCGCCCTTGCTCTCGCCGGGCTGGACGCCCTTTTCCCACCCCCATCTGACTCTTTCCGTCGCATCTCGCCTCTGCCGCGCCGTGCCGCAGCGCTTCGCTGCTGGCCGATATGAACTTTGAGCAGATGACGCCGGTGCAGGCCTCGACCATCCCGCTCTTCCTCTCGCACAAGGACGTCATCGTCGAGGCCGTCACGGGCTCGGGAAAGACGCTGGCCTATGTGATCCCCACGATCGAGATGCTCCTGCGCAAGGGGGCCACTCTCAAGCGCGACGAGCTCGGCGCCCTCATCGTCTGCCCCACGCGCGAACTGGCGCAGCAGGTCTACGGCATCGTCAAGATGTTTCTCGACGCCCAAGAGCGCGCCGCCGATGCCCAAGGGGCGGCGGAGGCGGACGCGGAGACGGATGGACAGAAGGACGAAGGAGACGAGGATAAGGAGCAAAACGAGGACGGCGGTGCACAGCCAAAGATCTCGGGCGTCCAGCTCGTCATCGGAGGCACCAAGTCCAACCCGGCGCAGGACTACGCCGCGTTCAAGGACAACGGGCCAGACATCCTCGTCGGGACACCTGGAAGGCTCGAGGAGCTCCTAACCCGCAAGGGCGTGAAGAAAAACGAGCTCGAGGTGCTCGTTCTCGACGAGGCCGACAGGTGAGCTTCCCTCCCTCCCTCTCACCGGCGCGGTCGACGATGCTGACACGCGCACGGATCCGCCCCCCCCCCCCTATGTCCTCCCGCCGCATCAGACTGCTCGACCTGGGCTTTTCCGAGAACCTGCACAACATCCTCAACCTCCTCCCTCGGCAGCGGAGGACCGGCCTGTTCAGCGCCACCATGACCGACGCCCTCTCGGAGCTGGCACGCATGGGCCTGCGCAACCCGGTCCGCGTCGTGGTCAAGGTCGAGGCAAAGGGCGACAAAAGGGGCGTCGGTGCCTTGGACGCTTCCCGCAGGATCCCAGCGACGTGAGTCTGTCCTGCTCGCCGGCGTTGCGGTGATGCCTCCGTGCACGCGTGCCGTCTCTGATCCTTGCACTGCTTTGCCCCGTCTCGCCTCGCCTCGTCTCGCGACATCTATGCTCGCCGACCCGCCCAGTCTGCAGAACACGTTCCAAGTCTCGCGCGCCGAAAACAAGATGGCGCAGCTGCTCCGGATCCTGCGCTACGAGTCGTCCGAGGACGGGCTCGGAGGCGGCGCGCGCAAGTTTATCGTCTACTTTGCCACCTGCGCCCAGGTCAACTACTTCTACAAGGTGGGTTCGAGGCCGTGCCGTGCGGATCCGCCGAGTGGATCGACGGCAGACTGACGATCCCTCCCGTGCTCCTGTCTCCTCTCCTCCTTCCTCCTCCTCCTCCTCCTCCTCCTCCTCTCCCGCCGCGAATCCAGGTCCTGAGCAGGCTGAAGCGGGTCAAGGGGCTCGCCTTTTACGCTCTGCACGGCAAGCAGACGTCGTCGAAGCGCACGGCGACGTTCAAGGAGTTTACCTCGTCGACGCCGGCGCCGGGCACGTCGGAGCAGGCGTCGGTGCTGCTGTGCACCGACGTGGCGGCGCGCGGCCTCGACCTGCCCGACGTCGACATTGTGGTGCAGTACGACGCGCCCACCGACCCCAAGGTCTTTAGCCACCGCTGCGGCCGCACTGCGCGAGCGGGACGGCGGGGCCGCGCCATCCTGCTGCTGACCAGGGGCCGCGAAGAGGACTATGTCGAGTTCCTCGCCGTCAAGAAGATCCCGCTGCAGCCCTACCCCTACCTCGTCCACCGTCCGGCGTCGCCGCTCAGGCCTGAACCGGGCCTCGAGCCCGGCACGGCAAGCGGCAGCGGCAGCGGCAGCGTCGGAGGCGGGCAGGTCGAGATCGCGGTCGACGACGACGCCCGGGCGCTCGAGGACGAGATGCGCGGCGCGGTGCGCAGGGACCGCGACCTCTACGAGCTCGGCATGGTGGCCTTTGTCTCGTTTGTGCGGTCCTACTCCAAGCACGAGGCCGTCTACATCTTCCGCACGGCCGACCTCGACTTCCACGGGCTGGCGCGCTCGTTTGCGCTGCTGCGCCTGCCGAGGATGCCCGAGACCAAGGCGGCGACGGCAGCGGCCGACAAGGGCAAGGCCAGGGCCGCCAAGCAGTCCGACGACGAGGCGGCGGCAACGCCGCCGACGGTCGCGGCAGGCGCGGCATCGGACGAGGCCGAGACCTCGGCATCGGCCTCGGCAGCCACCGTGTCGGCTTCGGTCCCGGCCGCGCCCCGTCGGCTCGGTTGGCACGACGAGGAGGTGGACCTGCGCACGTACGCCTACGCCGACAAGGCGAGGGAAAAGCAGCGGCTGGTCAACCTCGAGCTCGAGGACCAGCGGCGCGCCGAGCGGCCCGAAGAGGTCGAGGCCGAGGAGGCGCGCAAGCGGCGCGCGCACCTGGGCGTCAAGGGCGAGGCGGCCATCAAGGCCGACGAGGCGTGGAGCAAGCAGAAGCTGCGCAAGCAGAAGCGCGACGCGAGGAAGCTGCACAAGGAGCGCAAAAAGGCCTACCTCAAGCGCGTCAGGGAGGGTGGCGAGCAGGGCCACGACGGCAGCGCTCCGGGCGATTCCGGCGATGCCGACGAGGCGGGGCAGGGCGGTCAGGGAGCACCGACGGCGACGGCGACGGCGACGGCGACGGCGGCGCGAGGGACAGCGAGAGGCGGCGGCGGCGACGACGACGACGACGAGGGCGACGACTGGGCCGAAGAGGAGCGCGAGGCCAAGCGGCAGCGCAAGGAGGGCAAGGCCAAGAATGGCCGCGGCGCGATGCAGTTCGATTTCGACGGCCTCTAGGGCGGCGGGGGCGCTGGCTCGCTGGCTCGCTCGCTCGCTACACGCATTCCAGAATCCGTCTTCCATCCCTCACCTGCCTGCCCGCCTGCCTGCAGGGCGAATCCGACTTCCCAGACCTCGACGGACGGCACAGCCCGCTGCACCGACGGCCGCCCGGATTCGGCCCGCTTCGCGCCTCGAAGCTAGCTTAGGCTAGGCTAGGCTGTCTGGCGGGCATCCAAGCCAAAGCTTCGGTGGGCGTGCGTGCATGCAGCAGCAGCGCTGGCTGTGACGAAAGCGAAGAAACGAACGAGCGAGCGAGCGAGCGAGCAGCAGCGGACGGTCAGCCTGCCTGCCTTCTGGCCTGAGCGTCGCGGAGCAGGCCAGACAGGCTAGGCAGGACCCTGAATCATGCTGCGCGGTCGGCGGGCGTGGGCCGGCCCTGGCCAGGCCTGGCCTGGCCTAGCCTGACTTGGCCAGAGGATGAATCATCGGCGTCTGACCTGAGCTGCTGCTGGCCTGCCTGGCCTGGCTTCCCGACTGACCCCACCGAGCCTCCGAACTTGCAGGCAGGCAGGCGGGCAGGCGGGCAGGCGGGCAGGCGGGCAGGCTGGGGCGAGCGGGCGCTGCAGGCCTCCCTCCCTCCACCCCCTGCCTTGCTATAAGGAGGGGCGGGCCATCCCGCTCGCCTTCCCTCCTCTCCACCACTCACCCACTCAGCCCCCGCATCGCCACCACCACCACCACCACCAACTTCACCCTTCCATCCCTTCCTCGTCCGAGCAAGAGGGCCCAACAACTCGCATAGACGCTCCCACACTCGATGCACCTCCTCCCGTCGTCTCGCCTGACGCTCCTCGCCATCTCCGCGCCCCTGCTCCTCAGCCGCTCCGCCATCGCCGCCTCGCCCCAGGCTGCATTCAGGATGTCGTCGTCGTCGCCGTCGTCGGCCGCCACCACGCTCAACCTGCCCGCGCAGGATCCCCAGTTCGAGGCGCAGCTCGGCGGCGCCGGTGCCAACCTCGATCAGAGGACCGAGAGGCTCGTCGCCGATTCAGTCTCGGTGAGTGCGCACCCGTTCCTCCTCTCCCTTTCCTTTCTTTCGGCCACCAGCATGAATGCCGTCGACCGGCCTCCTCCTCCTCCTCCATCGCGTCTGGCCGGCTCGGCCCTCGTCCACTCTTTGTCGCCGTCGACGGGTCGCAGTCCACTGACCCTTTCCCGCCCCTGCCTCTTTTTCTCGGCATACCTCTACTTCCCATTGCCAGCTCTTCAGCGCCAAGCCCTCGCCCGAGATCTTTGCCCGCAGCTGGAACAAGGACGCCATCTTCGCCGTGAGCACGCGTCACATTTACGCGGCCCACCTCGTCTGGCATACACCCACTGACCGCCGCTCCGCGCTCCTTCTGATGCTGTCGCCGTCTCGCCTGCAGGACCCCATCGCCTACGCCGAGGGCGCGCGCCAGTACATGGCGCAGTGGTACGGCATGCCCGCCGCCTTCTCGGCTTCGGAGCTCCTCAAGTGGAGGCTGGTCAAGAGCGACGCCGACGAGGTGCAGTACGTGAGTAGCGCGTTCGCTCGCCCTCGTCCCCATCGTCCCCTGCGATGCGGGCCTCTCTCGCGTGCAGGCTCGACGTTCGGTCCTAGCCGCTCGTAGTCGCTCACTGTTGCTGATTGCATACCCGTCCTCCTTCGCAATCGATCTTTGCCAACACAGGTGCAGAGGCAACGGTACAAGATCAAGCTGATTGGCGTCGAAAAGGAAATCACCGTACGTCAGCCGGACCCTCCTCCACCCGTCTCCCTCCACATCCTGGCTTCAGAAAGTCCTCTCCGTCTCCCGATGCCGCATCGGATGCTGACTTTCTCCCCCGCGCTCCGCGATCCCGCATGGCCACACGGCCCTCTTCTTCGACACCACCAGTCGACGGTGGCGCTCCAGCTCGACCACGAGGGCAAGATCAAGCGCTTCGAGGACCGCTGGGACCACAAGCCCCTCCCCTCGGGCTCGATTGCCATGGGGCTGCGCAAGCTCAACGCCGTCACGGTGCCGCTCGTCGTCGGCGTGCCCAAGGAGAGCAAGCAGGTCTTTGAGCCCAAAAAGGAGCTCTAAAGCGGGCTTGGCCGACGTCGATCCATCTAGACGACATGCGCGGGAGCGGCGCACGACACACGACGGGCCCAAGAACACGGCACAGCAGGGCACACAGGCGCGGCACGTTCAGACTGGTGCGGTGCGCCATCATTGATCGATTGCAGGGACGGTACGCCATCGCGCCATCATCGGTCGAAGCCGCTCGCTCGCTTCAACATGCAAGCCTGTCGTCGGTCGGGTCGGCATCGGAAGGGGCCCAGGGGTACAAGACGGTCAGCAACTTGTCGATCGTACGACTGCCTGTTTCGCCCATCGCCCTTCGCCACACGCCGACGCTGCCGCCGCTGACCCTGGCCTGGCCTCGCCCCGCCCGACCTCGAGCGGGAGCTAGGTCGGATGGGATCAGAGTGGGTGCCCGGAAATTGGGTTTAGTGGCGGGCATCTTCGGCAGCTTTTTCTAGGAAGACCGTCGTGATGTTTGAGAATCATCATGCAAGAGGCGGAGGCGGAGGCGGCGGAGGGCCAGCGGCGGCGGTGGTGGCGGTGGCGATGGCGATGGTTGAGGCCGATCAGCTGGTCCTGACACTCACAGCTCGATCGGCGGGCAGGCGGGCAGTCGCCGCATGGTGGGCCTCGGGCGGCCCGGGGGCCCAACCTGGCCCTCGCGGGTTTGCTCTACCCTGGGGCCCTTCCTGTCGAAGCCAAGGCGGAGGCAGCTGGTGTCAGCGCGCCGCGTCCTCGTGTACACCCTCGCTGGCACCCATCACCCGTCGCTGCCAGGCCGCAGAGGCATGAACGACGACGACTACGACGACGCAGATGAGGGGCTAAGCTCATTAAACAGCCTAGAGTTGTCCTCATGTGGGTCGGACGGTAATTTCCAACATTTTAAAATGATGAAATAATCCCTGCCAGCCCCGTCTGCGTCGTCGGTCGTCGGTCGCCGTCGTCGGCGGTGTCGCGACCTGGCAGCGGTGACGCAAGGAGAACGGCACTCACCTGTTCACAGGAAGCCGGCCCGCGTGTAGCGCTTCGGCGGCGGCGGCGACGACGACGACGACGACGACGACGAGGGCCGTCCGGACGACCTGGACCGCGGTAATGTCGGATCGCGGCGAGAGGATGCGCCGACGTTGGCGGTGGCGTCGATGGCCGTGGTCGTGGTCCTTGAAACCCTTGTCCGAGGTCCCGTCGACGTCGAGCCGTGGCCGTGGCCGTGGCCGTGGCCGTGGCCGTGGCCGTGGCCGCTGGAGCGACGCTCGGGGAAACGGCCGCTGGCCGTGCCGTCGCTAAACGCATGACGTCCGATCCGAGCAAGCGCCCTGTCCATCTCGGCGGTGAGGGTGTCCATGGGGCACGAGTACGACTGCGGATGGGCATGGATGACCCAGACCCCGTCGGTGGGGGCAAAGCGCGAGTCCAGGCCCCCCGATGCACGCGCCTTGATGGCGCTGGTGAGGGCGGCCATGAGCTTGGTGCGGCACCGGTGGCGGATGACGGCGAGCTTGTGCAGGCGCTTCTTGCTGGTGAAGACGATGGCGTACACGGTCGAGGCCGGCGGAGGCGGGGGCGGCTTGACGGTGCGCGGGTCCGACTCCCACCGGGCCTCGTCGCCGCCCGTCCCACCGGACGTTGAGCCTGCGGC